TGGGGGCATAGGCTAAATGCTCAATATATACTTGTATAAAAATGTGTTTTAAAGAAAAATCTATTTGGATAATATGGTTATACCAGTGTGTGTGTGTGTGTGTGTGTGTGTTATAAAAAAAAAATTCCATAACTAAAGGAACTTATAGCTACTAAGTAAGCATTACAGAAAATATTGGAAGGAATTCTCCAGATATAAAAGCAAAATAAGCACACACACAATGCTACAGGAAATAACAGACAATGCTAAAAAAATAGGTAAGTAAATAGGGAACAAGAAAATAACAAACACTACAAAAATCCACAGGATGACAGGAATTGATGCACACCTTTCAGTGCTAACAGAAAATTGATGGTCCTGGTTCTGAAATCAAAGACTCAAACTAGCAGATTGGGCTAAAATAGGATCCATCTATATTTTTCTTTTCTTTTTTTTTTTCCTCCAAGGAATTCACATCTCTGTCAAATGTGCCTCACCCACATCAGGATGAAAGGTTGTAAAAAGTATTCAAGCAGATGGAAGTAGGACAAGCAGGTGAAATCATCTGAATATCTGAGAAAACAGACTTCAAAACAAAACTTGTCAGAATACAGAGAAGAGAGTCTTTCGGGGCCTGAGAGATGGACCAGCCGTTAAGAACACACTGTCTTTCCAGAGGACATGAGTTTAGTTCTCAGCACCTATGTAGGACAGCTCTAGGTTCTTTCAAGCATTACTTGAAAACTATTTGTTATATGACATCCTAGAACTAAGGTGGTGGTGGTGGTGGTGGTGGTGGTGGTGGTGGTGGTGTTGGTGTTACTGCTACTGTTTTGAGATAGACCACCAGTCCAGATTACCCTTGGATAAAATATATAGTCTGAGATCTTGCTGCCTGAGGACTGGGATTACAGGTGTGTAAAACCATGTCCAAGTTTAGAGATTGTACTCATGGGTTTGTGCATTCTAACAAGCACTCTATCAACTGAGTTTTGTCCCCAGTCCTCTGAGACAGTATTTTGATAGCATGATCTCACACAGACCAACCCTTACAAAGAACATTGGCATCTCACCTACCAGAGCTCTAAGAATTTATGCTATTTCATCAGTTTTTGCTATTTTTTACTGAGGAATTTGACTCAAAACATACCAAAATAACTTTAAGACTCGTCTTGGTCATGTTGTCTCTACACAACCATAGAAGAGTAACTAAAACACACTTTGTCTGTGGTTTTAGCCACTCCACCCTGTACCTCCCTGCCAGCTGTATGTGGCTTTGGCAAGTTCTAGAGCAGTGGTTCTAAACCTGGGGGTTGCAACCATCAGAAAACACATATTTCTGAGGTTCTGAGGAACTAAGACAACAGTCAGTAACAATTATGAAGTAACAAAAAAAATATGGTTGGGGTTCCTAAGATCATTGGGAATATGTAATTTCCCATGGTCATGGCCCACAGATTGAGAGCCTCTGTTCTGGAGTATACAAAATGTGGACTGTTAACTGAAGTAGGGATCCACCTTTACAGAGCTGGAGATGACATCATCCATCCTGGGATGGGATTTTTTCAGTCATGTGACTGTTTGAAGATCACAAATACTCCTGTAAGTAAGACCAACAAATCTCTTGGTTCACTAACCTACACTTGGGTGGAATAATTATTTTTCTCTTCTTTGATGCCTTGTTGGGTGAGTAGACATTTTTTTTTCACATTTCCCCAGGAAAAAATTTATACAGCAATTGACATAATAAACCACTGGTGAATCTGGACGGAGCAGATGCATTGCCTTGCTATAAGTGATGGCAGACAGTTGAAGCTAAGCTTTTAAGAGGGTGGATCATGTGCATAACGGCAGGCTTTCTTGCATCTTCATTGCGCATGGCCTTTCTCATGACGTATCTGATTTAATCGTATACAAGCTCACTCACATGGAGGCATAAAATGGCATAGGGAACAGAGGACCATAAGGGCCAGTTTTTGTTTAGACAACTATGATGGCTATTCTTGGTTGTCAAAGTGACTACATCTGGAATGAGCTAAAACCCAAACATAGAGGGGCACTCTGGTGAGGGATTTTTGCTTAATTTGAAGTGAAAAGATCTACTTCCAATCTGAATTATTGAGGTGAGAAGACACACCTTTCCTGCCGATCTTTTGAGATGGGAAGACATACCTTTAACCTGAGCTACACCTTCTGCTGGAAGCCTATATAAGGCATGCAAGAAGGAAGCTTTTGCTCTTTGCTTGCTTGTTCTTGCCTTGCTAGCAAGTCCATTTCTTCACTGATATTGCTGCGTTTACTGAAACCAGCTGAGACATTCAGCCTCATGGACTAAACAACTACTGGATTTTTGGACCTTCCATTCACAGGCAGCCATTGTTGGATTAGCTGTGCCACAGCCTGTAAGTCATTCTAACAAATTTCCTTTAGATAGATAGATAGATAGATAGATAGATAGATAGATAGATAGATAGATAGATAGATCATTTCATTATGTAAATTCTGTTACTCTAGAGAACCCTGATTAATACAAGATTGCTCTTTTATGGATTTCCAGAATGACTTAGTGAAGTTGACAGCTATTGGATATTTAGGAAAGATGAGTAAGCAATTAATGTTACTGTGATATAACTCCTTATGTAACAGGTTCTAACAAGATGTCACTTCTGTGTGATTCTTCGTAAACATCCTTAAACCCAAGAGTACGCACCTTCTCCTGGAGTGAACAGAGTATGGCACAGCTGCCCGAACTATACACATCTTTAATTTCCCAACCCTCATGACCCTCCATCCCTGACCCCAGAGCCACTAGATGATAAGCAGTTTTCCTGCAAAAAAAAGCACTCAAAGGGCACTCAAAAGGGCTGCCTTACTGACCATACATTCAAAACCAGTCCAAGAGGGATTAGCTTTTTCCTGCCTCTAGTTCCTGGATGTGTTTCAGAACATGCTTGAATGGAAACTAACCACAAATGGGAGAGTTACTAAAGGGCTTGATGGGGAGGAGTAATTTATTCCATTGTTTGAAGTGAGGTGTATGTGTGACTCGGTGTAGGTGGATGACCGCGTTGCTAAGTGCATTGTTAGGAAAGCAGTGTGTGTGTAGCTCAAGCCAGGCAGAGCCCTGGGTTGCTAAGCTTTCTGTAGAAGTGGGCAGTTTTCTCCCCTGAGTATGTTGTGTACAGTTCTCCTCTGGGGATGGAGGTTGTTTACCCAGTCAAGCGCCATTTCAGGACCAAGTGTAGAAAATGGAAAAGCACCGGCTGACTCAGAGACTGAGATTCAGGAAACCGGTGCAGCAAGGCAGGAGAGAACATGACTCTGCTCCTATTGACCCTACGCAGATCACAGCAGCATGGGCCAACCCCCCAGCTCCCCCAAGTGAAGAGATGCTCAAGATGACACTGACTGCACCCCAAGATGGGGAGCCAGACTGCTCAGCTTAAGTTCTGCCCTCAACATGTATTTTTTCATAAAAGATATTTTGTTCATGTTTTTTCCCTCTCCCAGAATTTTCCCAGATCTTCCCTACCTCACTATCCTTGTAAATTTATGTTTTCTCCCTCTCTCTTTGAAAGAAACAAAAAACAACACTTCAAAAATGCCTTCACAAAACCACAAAAATGTATATCAAAATAAACAAGCAAAAGATCAATAAGACAAAAAAAATGCCCTAACAAAGAAAAAATGAGACTAAATGTCTATAAAAATATCATTGAGTTTACTTGGTGTTAGCCAACTACTTTTGGGCCTGGGCCCACCCTAAAGTGTGGCTAATATACCCAGTGAGACTCCACTGGAGAACACTGGTTTTTCCTTTCCCAGAGGTCCTGATGTATAGGGAAGGAATGTAGATTCAAAAGCAGGAATATATTTGAAAGAGTCAGTAATGGCCTAGGGTCAGGGCCTTTCCAGAGTTGCAGCTTTGGATCCTGAGAACTCAGCTCTTCCCCACCATACAGAGAAGTCATGATGAGGAGGAGTGTGAGGCCAGCCTTGCAATCAGGAAGGGGAAAGAGAGCAAGCGTCTCCAAGCTACAAACCCTCAAAACCTGCCCCAGCCACTCCAGCAAGGCTCCACCTCCCAAAGGTTCTTCAACCATACTAGACAGTCACCAGCACGAGACCAAGTTTTCAAACACATGTGCCTATGGGGAACATTTCATATCCAAATCATAATACTCCACCTGCAGTTCCGAAGGGCTCATGGTCATTGCATGAGGAAAAATGAATTTATACCAGTTTCAAAAGGACCCACAATCTCTGTCAGTCCCAAAACTGTTCAAAGGCACAAAGTCTAAAATCTCCTCTGAGACTCAAGGCAGGTTTTTAGCTATATAACCTCCTGTAAAAAAATTTTTTTAAGTTACATAATTCTAACATACAATGGCACAGAATATTCATTCTCACTCTAAAGGGAGGAATTTGGACATAGTGAAAAAATATTGGACCAACGTAAAACCCAGCAGGACAAACACTAAATCCTAGAGCTCCATGTCTGGTATCTGGGACTTTACGTTTCAAAGGGCTCCACTTAGAGCTTCTGTAGCTTCTCCAGACAGAGACACCAGTTTGGAACTGAGTTAAAACACATAAACCTATGGGGGGACATTTTATTTTCTCACCACAATCCATGCCTTCTTTATCTCTGACCCTCCCCCTCCGATTCACTCATGTCATCATACTGAGCTTACACAGATCCCCAGAACAACCCTCTCATTTCGTGCTAAGTACCCACATTTGAAAAGTCCCTTTTGCCATGGAAGGTAACTTAATCCCAGGTGTTAAGGGACAGGTATAGTGATCTTTGTGTGCAAGGCATTATTACACTTACACAAAGACACTAAAGGGACAATATAAACAGCTGCCTTTTAATTTCATGAATCCAGTCCTAAATCTTAGCACTCTCTTCACTTTGTTTTAAATAAGCAGTTTTTGTTTTGGTTTTTGGTTTTTTGTTTGTTTGTTGTAATAGACGAACTTCCATCATCACTCCAGACACAGAAATTGACTTAAGTACACAAGATTCAAATTACTATTTATTATTAGATAAAACCAATTGTCCCTGAGTTCACTGCTTTAATTTAGAATATTTACAATCTAGAGCTTGCAATTCTGTACCTTGGAGAGCACCAGCCCCAATGACAGTGCAATAATACCCCACGGATGCTTCACCCACAGTGAGGAAGTGATAATGCTGCTACTCAGCTCACTTTCTCCTTTTAATTCTGACTAGGAGGATATTCTTCAAACTCAATTGACCTGTTCTAAAAAAATATCTCACAAACATGCCCAAGGAACTGCCCAAAGTGACTTTATATCCTGTGTAATTAACAATCAATATAAACCCATCACACATGTCCAGAGACTTGTTTCCAGGGTGTTTCCAAATCCCATCAGGTTGACAATGAAATTTAGCCATCATACTTACTTTCTGAAATGGTAGTAATAGTTATTGCATCTTGAATTAGGCACAGCCAGTTTAAAATTGGTCCATTCCTGCTGACGATTAGAACAACGAACATGAGTACTCTTCTTTAGACTGTCAGTTCCTGTCAATATTTGTTATTTTAAGGTTAATATATATTATAACTCAAGAAGTTGTTACCTGTTATTATTTGGTCTAATGATGTCCTTTGAAAATAAAGACTCTGTCATGCAAGAGAAGGACAAGCAAGAGTTAAAAAAACCCAAAACTAGAGTGATGTGTATATACACCTGACAATTCAGACAGTGTGTCTTTAGTCCTCCAAGACTTGATATCCAAATTAAACCAATGACAGATTATGCCTTCAGTTTTTTAGATGTTTTAAATTTGCATATTAGAATTTCCTCATTCCAATAATTAAAATTATTTGAGCAAAAATAGCACTGTGATTAAACTACATTTTACCACTAAAACTGCATTTTACTGCTGATGAGAGATCTTCAGCTACTTTAGATCTTACTTTAGATTTCACGACTTCCAGCCAGATTCTTCTTCTACCAAAAAGGAAGTTCTCCTGTCCCACAGACCAGCAGATGGTGGAGGCAGGCATGACCCTTCGTGGTGTGTGGTTCTTGATGACGTGAAGCTATTTAAACTTGATCTTAATATTTTACAAAGTTAAATTGCAGACCAGAGTACCAGAAGAAGCCAATCTTGCCTAACGGAGCCCCCTCCTTGTTCCAATTCTCCCGCTGGTTTCTCCTGTTCCATTGCTTATTGTGAAAAGAGAAGAGTCTTCGTTTGTGTTCTGTCTTCCTCAGTTTTGACTGCTCCAATTTCTTGACCTCGGCCATATTGTATTGGTCTATCTGGTTGCAGAAAGAGCACTGTGAGGCTTGTGAACAAGAAGAGTTGGGTCAGTGCATAGCAGTGCCAAGTGTAATGGTTCACTAGCATCACAGTTCTCAAGAAGTTCATGAAAAGAAAAGTCCTTTGCTCTTGGGTGTTACTCTGAGGATTTGACAAAAAAAAAAATTGTATATTTTATTGTTCATGTGGTTAGGTGTCCTCAGTAATGACATCTTTCCTTCTAGATTCCATTGAATAATCCTCTAACTTTCAAGCTAAGACCTTCCTATGTCTCTCTTAAATCAGCCAGTTTGAAATGTTTGATCCCTGCATAGCCTACTGTCTTAGTTGCTTTCCCATTGCTATGACAAAACACCATGACCAAGGCAACATACAAAAGAAACTGTTTAAGTGGATTATTGTTTCAGAAGGTTAAGAGTCCATGATGGCAAAGCAAAGGCATGCCGGCAAGAACAGCTGAGAGCTCACATCTTGATTAGTAAGCAGGAGGCAGAGAAAGAATCCTAGGAATTGCACTTTATCTTTTGAAAATTTAAAGCCCACCCCCATTGACTCACCTTCTCCAACAAGGAACACACTTCCTAATTATTCCCAAACAGTTCCACAGAGGACAAGCATTAAAGCATATGAGCCTATGGGGGCCATTCTCATTCAAATTACCATAGATCTACATTCCTATTCAGCCCGAAGAAGTTTTAGAAAACAGAATGCTGGCCCTCATCCATCCTTGAGATCAAGGGATCAAAATCTTAGAAGAAGAAATTGAGGCAAGATAAAAAGAAGGAAAATTAAGTTCACATGGGACAGGAAAGGGCTCCCTCACCCTGATTGGCTGAGAATGAATAAAATTTCACACACACACAAAAAAAACATTACAAACCTTCTTTACAGTGAAAACATGTCTTAATATCTTTATGTAAAATAAAATCTGATGGTTTGTTTTCAAAGTTGCTTTGAGCCATCTTAGCTCCAGCTCCAAATGAACAGAGAACATTAGACCCTGGCTAATGCTTTCTAGTGTAGCTATGCTCCACCCCAAATCCCGCTCAACTACCCCCTTGCCTAAACTAGGAGTATAGACTAGACAATTACTAATAGCCAAGCTCGCCTGCAATGGCATGTGCCTGAGGGGCTTTAAAATGAACAGGATGTAAATCAGAGAGAGGAAATTAATGCATGGATCTTATCCATGAAAGGAGATATGTAAGAGGGAATGATGAGTTCTTGGTGACCTGTAAGACTATACCTTCCTGATTGCTCAGTAAGAGGACAGGGAGGGTTATCTGTTTGCTTGTGTTCAAAACCCTTCTCAGCACTCAATCAGTGTACCTGCCATTCTAGGCTGATGCCCAGCCTTGCAGCTTTGTAAAATAAACTCTCTCACTTTCACTACTGTGTGTCTCCGGTGCTTTAATTATGAAGTGAGGATCATTGTTTCTCACACTTGTAGTCCTGGTATAGTAAGGATTTCTTGGACCCCTTTGACTTACTATTGTCTCATCAGCCTATAATCTTATATAAAGCATCCCTAAATGCACTATGGGATTTCATTTGAAACAAACAAAACAAAACAAAACAAAAACAAAGAATTTCAAACATTTAACCTAATCCTTTGAATTATTTAAACAACATAACTTCAATGGTATCAAAACCATATATATGTATTATTATGACACTTAAAAATTTCAAGACTTTTTTGAAAAGTGTTTCATTACTCTATGGCATGTAATGCTATCATTTTCTTTTCATTATTTGCTTACTCATTGACTATTTTACTTTTTGAGACATAATCCTTTTCAGCATGGAACTTGTTATGTAGACTAGGTTGGCATCAAATTTGAGGCAATCCTGCTTTCTCCGACTCCTGGGAGTTAGGATTACAGTAGTGTGTCACCTAGTGTTGTCTTAGTCTCTTTTCCTGTTGCTGTGATTAAAAAAAATACATGGATAAAAGCAACTTAAGGGAGATAAGGTTCATTTTTGGCTCACAGTTAAAGGCTTTACAGTCCATTTTGGTAGCAGAATCAAAGGCAGGAGCTTGAAGCAGCTGGCACATTGAATCAAACGTCTGGGATGGAGAGCAGAAAAATACTACACTGTTGCTCCATTCCATTTCTCTAGTTATATAGTCAGAATTCCAGCCAGGGACTAGTGCCACCCACAGTGGGGCGTGTTTCCCAACTCATTAATGTCATCAATATAATCCCTCACGGATGTGCCCTGGGAGGCCCATCTCCCAGGAAACTTTAGATTCTATCATGCTGACTTTTAACACTATCAGACTGTCCTTTCCTTATGCCTCTCTCTCCCTTAATGCTCATCTATATTAAAACCTTTTCTTAGTAAATTCCAATTTTGCTTCATTAAAAAAAAGGTAAAAATGGGAGGCTGGAGAGATGGCTCAGTGGTTACAAGAGCCACTGGTTGCTCTTCCAGAGGACCAGGGTTCAATTCCCAGCACCCACAAAGCAGCTCACAACTGTCTATAACTTCAGTTCCAGGGGATCTCACACCTTCACACCAATGCACATACGTAAAGTTAAATATAGTATTTAAAAAAAATGGTTTAAAACTTCCAACCAAATCCGAGAGCCAAACTTACCAGTGACTTGACATTTATGTCTCAAAAAATGATTTTTTATCATGAATAAGTAATCTCTAACTTTTAATTCTGAAAATTTTCATTTAAAAATCACTATATGTGAAGTATAATTCTCATACAGAAAATATATGGACGAGAGTAGAGCTTGAGTTGCTATTATTGCATAAGGTGGAATGCTTGGCTAGCATGAATGAGGCTCTGAGTTTATAGAAAATACAGTTTGAACATTCGCAAATACATGCACATTACTAGCAGCAAGACTAACTGAGATTACTTTCTTTCAGTCACAATTCCTTGTACATCACATGACTATTACCTTAACTTCCACCATCTCAATCTTTCCATTGTGATTCTTTATAGTGAAAAGGTGCAAGATGTCTTTTATTTAATTACAAGGGCCAGAGGATGGAAGGGGTTCGGTTCTGGGTAAGTGGCAATGAGGGAAGTTAACAGCTAACTGTTATGGGCTCAAGCCAGGGCTCTTCCGAATTCCTGAATGAAAGTTGAAACCATGACTCAAAACCCTAGGACTCCAATGCCCATCTGTTTACTATGGGCTTGAAGCAAAAATGGATCGTACAAACAGTCTTAGCTATGGCCAGTATAGGTTTTCCTTATCAAAATTTCACTTAAAATGCTCTTGACTTGTAGGTCCCCTACCTTTGCCTAGCTCTGCTGCTAGTTGTGAGGCTCATTCCAGGACCAGGTCATTTTTTTTTTGCATCAGTAATGCACAAACCCTTCTAGTTCAGAGACCTTTTAGTGTCAAGAGTTTAGAGTTAACAGCAGAAGTGAACTGAACACCGGGCATGATGACACAGTCTTGTAATTCCAGCACTTAAGAGGTTGGCGAGTTGAAATTCAGCCTTAGTTGCACTGCACATACCTGACCAGCGTCAGATATATAGCCAGACAGTTTCAGAAACAAAAACAAAAAAAAAAACCCTACAAACAAAACAAAAAGGAGAAAAATGGATTTAACATGTACCTTTGTGTCTAACATTTTATGTTCAACGGTAAGTTTCTGTCGTTTTCTGTGTTATTGCCTACAGTTTCAGAGGGTCCTTTGCATTGCTGTGTAGTGTTCCCATTACACAATGACAAGGTATGTTAATCTATCGGTGTTAGATTATTCCCATTTGAAGACTATTAAGACAAAAGCAGCCATGGGTGTCCTGGCACTTATCTGCCTGCACAACGTAAGTATTGTTCCTACCAATTGTGTGACCAAGGGACTGGCAGGTCATAGGGTACACATCTGTAACAAATTGTTCTTGTTTTTCAAAGGAGGTGCTCCAGCACCACAATCAAATTCAGTTATTTCACATTCTTGTCAACACGTGGTATTTTATATCGCCATTTTCTGTTTTAAAGTGAGGTATATAGGGGCAACGGAAACAAGTTTATTTTGAGACAGGGTCTCTTATAGTTCAGGTTGGCCTTGAATTCCCGATCTTCTTGCCGCCATCTTCCTAGGGTCCTAGGATCGCAGACATGTGTTGTCACTCCACGTTTGAAGCAGGTTTGGATTGCAGGACCTTTTCATTTTCCAATTGGTCCTAGATTGTTAAGGATCTCAGGCTTCTGTCTTGCCAGTCATACCATGCAAGCTGCATGAATTCGTCTCCACTCAACTTTGTTTTGCTCACCCTACCACTTCGATGCCCTCAGGTGCGTCCCAGTAAGTGGCAGAATTTCTGAGGCCGCTGGAAGGGAAACAGGAAGCTCCTTCGGTAGGTTTGCACATCCTGCTCACCTTGGTCTCCTTGGGTACCAAAGGCCCGAGGCTCTGCAAACCCAGCCCGCTCCATCAGGGCTAGCGCAGGGCGGGGCGGCGCGGAGCATGCGCAGTCCAGGTGGCGCATGCTCCTCAGCGCGGCGGGCGGGAGCCCGGCGCGCCCTTCATCCCAGCCGGAGTCGGCGATGAGTGTCTCCGTGGATCCGGATACTAATAAAGTTCGCTAGAAAATCATAATCGTTCTTAAAGAGCCGAGCGGGTACGAGGCGCCGCGGGGAGGAGCCGGGCTCGGTGCTGCGGGCTGTGGGTTCCGGGCTCGGTGCTGCGGGTTCCAGGTTCCGGGCTGCGGGCTCGGTGCCGAGGGTTCCGGGCTGCGGGCAGGAGGTGAGTGCGGCTGGCAGGGCCTCCGCTCGGGGCTGCGGGCCCCC